ATTAAGTTAAAATTGTTGGCATAGTGGGATTCCATACTCTATATTCAAGTTCTTCTGGAAATTTTCATGTTTGATTTTAGGAAGAATAATGTTATTTTAAAAGGACAAAATATATTACTTCTAAACTTTTAAACTTTTTTTAAATATAATTACAAATTAATATTCCTTGTTTGCCAATATGTTGAGTGTGAACTGTCGTAAGTATACTAAATGCTGTTAAATATAACATTTTTGCTTTCATTTTTGAAACATTGGTTGCTTGAAATAATCATATACTTTGGCTCATCAGGTAGATTTTATCTAATTTTATTATGAAATAAAAATCTAACATATTGCTAGTTTTAAAATTAACAGGCATTTATTAAGTCCATCCTTTGCTTTGCAATATATTGAAACCTGAAAGAAGGTAAGGGAAACAGGATGATGAGGAGGAATTAGACCAGGACCAAGAGTGTTTCACACAGTTTCAGGGAATGTGGAGTTTCATGAAGGGAGAAGATTTGAAATGGCAATAGAATCTTATAGATAGAGGAAACCTCAAAGCCATGCAATGAAATGTTTTTGTTTCTCAACATGCCCATTGAGGTTAAATTACATGACCACAATTGTCCAGCCAATATGTAGTTACAGAAGGCACCAAGAGAGAAGTGGGATGCGTGAGTGGGATGGACCTTGAGGACATTATGCTAAGAGAAATAAGTCAGATGGAGAAAGCCAAATACCGCATGACTTCACTCATATGTGGAAGATTAAAAACAACAATAATAACAACAAAGAAACACACAGAGAGAATAGATTGGTGGTTATGGGAGAGGAAGAGGGGACGGAAGAGGGGAAGGACAAAGGGGGTAAAAGGGCAGATGCGTACCGTGACAGACAGCAATTAGACTTTGGGTGTCACCACAGAAATAGAAATATAAGATGTACAACTGAAAAAAAAAAAGAATGAGTTGTGGGATATGTTGAAATTCAACTAATATTACTTACCATGTGTCAAACTTTATACTATGTTCTTCCACATTTACTGTCTCTTTTGCATTATCATAACAACCTTGTATGCTAAATATTATTAACCGAGATCCAAGGAAGTGACGTAGCTTTCCCAAGGACTCAGAAGCATTATAGCGCAGATTCACACCCATGTCTTGTGACCATAAATATGGGCTTCTACACACACCGATTTGGTGGGTAAAGGCATTCCACGTGTCATTTGTTTGAAGTAAGAAATGGGACTGATATGTTGGAGAAGAGTGGATAAGACTTCTGGCTTAGCAAGACTAGAGCTTCAATGCTGGCAAGTAGTGAGGCTTAGGGAGGCTGTTGTATATATAGAAAGTTAGAAATGTTCAATTTACACATAAAATCCGGGGTGAGTTTGTTTCATACAAAACAGAGTATTACAACATTAAAGCAGAAAGGAAGGGCGGGAATTAATAGAATCTGAAATAAAGCTTAGCCTAACTGATGAAAAAAGAGTCTATATATGTCTATGAATGATTGTTACATATAGTCAGATCCAAAACAGCCAGGAAAATAAAAGAAAGCAGCACATTATAACAATAATTATCTATGTGGTTGGATTGTAGGTAATATTTTTCTTCTTCATTCCTTTCTTTTTTCTTCAAATTTTCTATAGGGAGACCACATTGATTTTATAATTAAAATAACCAATTTCTATAAAAAGAAATACATCTGTGGAAACTAGATTATTTGCTGATTGAAAACATTCCTAAATTTTACTACAGTAGATATGAATTTGAGATAAAAATTAGAACGGCTTGTACTGAGTTAGTGTATGAATAGTTCGTTATTTTATCAATGAATTATTTTCAATTCAATTTTTTCCTAATTAGGATTAAACACAAGTTAATATTCTATATATTTTTGATAAATGCCTCACAAGAAATTTGTAGTTTTTAAATGTCAGCTTGTATTTAAGTGGATACTTTCAGATATGGATTTTAAAATTATACTCTGGCCTTGTAAAGGTGACAGATATTATCTAACTGATTATGCCAGTAGGATTTAAAAATAAAATCCATTTTTGTCCTTCTGTCCATTTTCTCCTTTTCACATGTGTTCCTGAGCAGATACTGAATCTCAGTAATTTAGGTTGCCCTATACAATTTCGAGCACACTAGATTTATAATAAGCACATATTAAACTCTTGCTGATTGCATTTGCATCAGCTCCAGTGTTTTTTAATTTCACAGAATGTTTTCAGTTGTAACCTTAGTTCTTGACCTGCTCTAAGGTTTTGTTTCAATTTATCTGTTACATATCAATGCCATTTGTTAGGGTCTATTTTCCTGTAACGTTTTTTAGAAATCAATAAGATAAATGGCGTTTATTTTGTGCTTTTTCTTCAAAATTGTCCTGACAAATGGGTAGTTTATTTTTCTTTGAAATCGTTTGAATTGTTACAAGCCAGATATCACAAAGCTTAATTTATTCTTCTGTTAACATTTCTAAAGCAAAGTTTATTACTACTGGTATTTTAGCCGTAGATTAAAAGAATACAAGTTCCTAAAACCTCTCTACCAATTATTCTCAAATAGAATGCTCTGTGATCAGAGTTTAGTTTTCAAAACACTATTTCTACTAATATTAATTAATTTATATCCTAAGTATATCCTCCCTATTAAAAAATTCACAAATTTATCTCCTCCATAAAATCATCCCTGAAGTCACATGACAGAGTCAGGAATTGTCCCAATAATTATATTCTTCTATCATGTTCTTCTGGATGTGCTGATGTCTCTATCAGGCTCATTCGCTTGCTCCCTTGTAGATGTCAGGTACTTGAGGATAAGAAGATGACCTCACTGATTTTCTGTTTGTGATATCTCATATGGTGCCCGGATGAAAAAATGAGTGATTGTACATCTCCCATACTATTTTGAAACATTCAGCCCAATAATTTCGCCTTTAGCTTTTCTTTCTAATACTACAGTTGCCTATTTGTGTTATATATGGAAGTTCCTTTGATATTTTGTCTATAAATGACCATAATTCAGTGGATTTCCAGAAAATATGTCCAGAATTAGGAAATGGAAAGCGTTTATTGATAATGTGATCTTCAAGTCACATGTAATGTGAACTTGGAGCCCCATACAAATAATATAGCATTATATTATTTTATGCTAGCTATTTTTTTTTCTCACTTTAGGAATAAGATAATTCAGAATCACCTTCATACTGCCAAACTATTCCCAATCATTGACATTCCCTGATGGAAGTAATCATTTTTTTGACTCAGTTTGAACTTGCCTCACCCACTTTAAAAAATGCACAAATAAATGCGTTTTTTTAAACTAACCAACTTCATCAACTGACATGTAACCACACACAAATCACAATCACAAAACCTTCATTTTCTATAATAATCATTTCATGTTTAGAACACCTGCTTTCTCAAAGCTGAGAGCTCCAGGCTGTATTCCAGTCTCTTCTACGCCTTCAAACTAGTTTAACTCTGCTCCTTACGCGGAATCAATGTCTGTGGTTTCTTCATGATGTTAACAATATGTGTGCTACGGTCTTTACTCATTCGGCTACCTTCGGGTTGACAGAAAATTCTCAGATGTTCTTCTCTGAAAATTCCTTGCAAATCTTCTTTACTGAGAATAGGCCTTCTCAAAACATCTGTGATAACAAAAGGTCCATGATGCATTTCACATTGTTCAAGACATTCAGCACGTGGCCTTTGCCCAATGAGAAAAACAGAAAGTTTGAAAGGTCAATCTTGGTTCAAAGAAGGGAGAAAAAAAGAAGAAAAAAAGAGGAATGATAATGGCTGAGTATATTTTCACTGTTTTGCGTATTTGTAGTGAGGTTTGAAAATTCAATATTTCTTTAACCAAATGAAATAAAATAAAATTTTGATTTTTCGTATTCAATAGTCTGGATGTATTTGATCTCTCTTGGAAAGCTTTATAAACCATTTTTTAAAGATAAAAAAATAATGTTATATAAAATCTAAGGCAAGTGTTTAAATACAGCAATGCCCATAATTTAATAGTCTTCCCCTTACATTTGGATAGCAGGGTATATAATTTCCTAATATGAGATAATAATAAAAACAAAATTAAGAAACAAGCAATTTATTAACTTTATTCTATTTATAATTATACAACTTTGAAAGTAAAAGAAAATCCACACCCTTCCTCTTTTAGCTGTTTCCATATAAGAAAATGAATATGCCAAGAAGTATCGGAAAGCCCCATAGTGATTAAAACCTGTGACTTTGCATGATATTCAGGTGAACAGAGTTTGGCAACAATGATGCATCTGAACATTTTGGAGTGTTTTATTGCCTTTGAAAGTGAATAATATAAAATATTTATCAGCATTGGAATATATTGTACCCATTAAAATGTTAAGCTGCGTAAGTGGTGAACTGTTAACGAATATATGTTATTTGTTTAATGTGGTTCTTCTGTGGGTTGAGGCAATATTTTCAATTAGCTTTAGGAAAATGTGACTTGGACAATTGAAGTTGAATGAGTCAGTTATTATAATGCAGGCAAAACATTAATTTGTTTAGATTTTTACTTGAAACATTAGAGATTTTGAAAATCTATAGGCATAGTTTCAAATTCTCTTTTTCTCGGAGAAACATTTACTCACTGCCCAATTACTGTGACTTTTCTGGTCACATTTAACCTTTCTGAGAAGATTCTACTCTCTATTTTATATAAATGTTTATTGCTAAATCATTTTGAATACGAGATTCCACAGTAATATTTATCTACATTTCAGGTCCGTTGGCTATTTATATGACCTCTAAAATAAGCAAGAAAATAAAAGATAAAAAAATAAAATAAATACATTAAATTTCTAAATTCTTAAGAAGTATATTATTCCTTCAGCATTTTTTGGATTATTATTCATAAAGATACTTTTCAAATTTCATCTACTTTAATTCTATATAGTATATTTGCTATGGGTTATCTTGTATATTTCTCTAAACTCTTCTGTGTGTGTGTTTTTTCTTCTAGGTACTGGCTGACAAACAAAGTTCCCATCAAAAGACCCAGCACAGGTCTCCTCATGTATACACTCGCCACAAGATTCTGTGACGAAATTCACCTTTATGGATTCTGGCCATTCCCTAAGGATTTGAATGGAAAAGCCGTCAAATATCATTACTATGATGACTTAAAATATAGGTACTTTTCCAATGCAAGTCCTCACAGAATGCCACTAGAATTCAAAACATTAAATGTGCTACATAATAGAGGAGCTCTGAAACTGACAACAGGAAAGTGTGTAAAGCAGTAAAGCACATTGGAAACCATACAAACAAACTGAATATGCACTTCTTTTCTGAAGATGCTTCCTAAGATTTGAAAATAGGATCCAAAACAAGACTCGGTTTCAACATCCACGAATTATCTGAAAGGTGATAAAGGACGTTCATGACAAATCCACTACCAGCTGATGAAATACCTGCAAAGTGCTCTAAAAATCAAATATTTTGACTTCAAGGGTCCTAGTAAGTGCCACTTCCACTGAGAACACAGTTTGAATGTATAATCAGTAGTGTTTACAAGATCCAACAATGCACTCGCCATTAGTTAACGAAGCAAATGTGTTCATCACTGTTGGGCTGCCACTGCAACGCCAAGCACATTAGAAGAGGAACCCAGGAACACAACTCAGCCCTTGGGGAAATCAAACCATCCTTGTCCACAGAAATCAAGATGGAAATAAGTTTGAGCAGTGAAATTCATAAGATTGAACAACTCAAGTAAATGCCTTCAGTCAGGACTCTTGAGTCTGATCATGAATTTTATGTTTTGCTTTCTATTTTTGTTTGTCTTCTGGAATCTCTTTTGGTTTGGGTATTGGGCTGCTTAGAAATCCTTTCTGAGATAAATATGAATGAGATAACCTTCAAGTAATCATTTTTAAAGTTCTTATATTTTTTAAGGTGCAATCACACACAATGACTTTGTAAAAAAAGTTTTGTTTTGCACGGCTGTAAACCTCCAGATTTTTTTCCAATGGTGTAGAAGGTACCAGCTAAACCATACCATTCAGTAATCTTGAACCCTTCTAAAGGAAAGATGTTCTATGTCCTCTGAGATGGTAAAGTGCGCAGAAAAAAATGTGCTTTTGGTACCAAAGATTATACTACACAACAAACCATTCTCCTTTCATAAAAAGAATATATTAATATGTTATTATGTTACTAATGTAAAAGCTGTCTCTAGATATCTTAAATTTTCCAAACTCAAACTTTATTTTTATTTGAAGGAAGACTTCCCCAGCTTTTACACTTCATGATAATTTAGTGGAACCATTTTTCCCCTTAGAATAAATGTTTGACTCATAGGGCTGAAATGTGACTGCCAGTTCTTTGATATCCCCCTTTATTCAAATGAAAATATCGGCATGCTCTTTATATTATTGTTGTTGTCTTAGTGCAGAAATAACAAGATGAAGAGAGTATTGTTTCTATAACAGAGATGATCAATTTTAAGAGGTTTAACAATGAAATTGTGTGTCAATACTTTGCACTTCAAATGGATTAAATTGATCAATATTTTTTCTGTGGTTAAATTTATTCACATTATCACGTGAATGTGTTTTCAAAGAAGCACATGGAATTATTAATAAAATGATTTTAAAATTTTAACAAGTAACAGAATTGACTAATAAGCCAGTTTTCTGGTAACTTGTACTACACTGGTAGGTAATTCTGACGGTAAATTGTTTCTTTAGAAAGCAGAAGCACTGTGTTCCCACTTCTACTCTTGGCCTGAAACCGCTTAGGTGACTTCTTGTTTCTTAGGGAAGGCAGTCTGAGGAAAGAAGAAATGGCATGGGGAGTATGTACATTTTGTTTCTTAGGAAAGACAGTCTGAAAAAAGAATAAATAGCATGGAGTATATACATATTATCATGGAAAAGGATATTCACAGTAGTGCAGTTCTCAGTATATTAATAATATTTGGCATTATTTTTAAAAATACAGTAGAACCTTGGGATACAGACGACTATATTTTCTTATAATTCATGTGTCTCTAAGAAAACAAAATAGAATGCATAAAGGAGATCCCTAGCTAAGAATAAATAGAACATGATGAACTTTTATCATTAACCTCTTATCTATTGGAAATTTTCAAAGAATTAGGTACATGTTTTGAATGTAAAGTTGAAAAGTCTGATTTACTTAACAAATCAAAAGTAGGTGATTTATAGAATCTTAAATTCAACTACTTGCAGATCAGTTGTTTGAAGAGTCTTTCATTTGAATTCAATAGATATTTTGAAGTCACAAGTAAATTCTTTTAGGTAAAATCCATCTCAGAATTCATTCAAACTATGTCTTAAAAAGCAGCAGCAAGGTACCTTGACATTTTTACTGCATTTTCAACAAATGCATTTAAACAATTTTAAGGCCACAGCAAAAGCATCACTGCCATTCACTGTTCCGTGCGTTGATGTCTATCTCGTAGATGCATTGAGTAGTGCCTTTTTAGCTTCCCATTGCTTTGTTACCCAATGCTTTGTGTTTTCTAAATACGTTGCCCAGTTCTGAAAATGTTCAGCATATAAAAAGGGCTTCAGTATCGACTGAGACTACTTTTGTTCATCTCAGGGAACTTTCAATACTCAAGACTGAATTCAATTAAAGGCATTTAGCGTTCAAAGAAGACACACTGTACAAGACCATTTCATTCCCTGCAGTATACCTTCCCATCCACACTCCCCCTTCACAATCCGCTGTGGTCTTCTGACAAAGCTAGCGCAAGGAGGTCAGCAAAGGCTAACAGCAGAATGAGAAAAAGAATTGAGATTTAACCAATAAAGGTGCAAAGAGATCATGATAAAATCAAATTATAAATACATACTTGAAATATCTGGAGTGTTTTCTTTTGAGACTATCATATGTTCAGAGCTTTAATTTTTTATTTCTTTTTCACCATTTAACCCTGTACCTGGCAATGCTCAGGCAGCTGGTTGTGAAATATTCCTGTCCTTTAGAGAACATGTTTGCTACTGTGCTGTTGACATGAATAGGCCATGGAAACGTTTTCATCATTATTACCCAGCCTGTTCCATGCTTAATATTAAGTTGCCGGAATAAAAAAATGAATCAGTAACAGATTTTTCTGGGCAAATCTGATGATTCAGCCCACAGGACTGATGAAATTACTGTGGAAGTTTTTCTATCTGAAAGAAAGTGCTGGGCATTCAAATGTCTTTATGCATTGTATATCATATGAAATGTATATCAATTGCTAATGGGAATTTCTACATATATGCTTACAGAAGCAATTTATTTAAATAATGCTATGGGTAGTGTACATACCAACTAGTTATTAAGCTACTACACAGGAAAAGGGTGAACAAAGTAATTTATTTCTAATTGAGCCAGTTAGTCATAATGCACACAATGTGGTATTTGGTTCATAAAGGAGTTGTTTTCGTGTGGTTGTTGTTGGGAGTATCTATAATTGTGGAAGGGTGTAGGAGGAGTGATGTACAGTTAGCTGTTTCCTCTACAAGTTTGAAAGTTTCCCCATGAGACATTATCAATATACCAATGTTTAAAAATTGAGTGAAAGAGGGTTATTGTTCATATTTGATGAAAGGAAATCCAAATAAAGCCCACCTAGAAATAGATATTTTATTATATATGTGCTATAGATATACCTATATAGTACAAATAGACGTGTGTGATGCATATATATAATGTTATATATGTGTATCTGTGTGTATACACACTGAGTCTGTAATATACACACGCTAGATTTGTGTGACGCCAACATCTTCAGGGGCTGCTGTCTGAAGCGCTCTGGAGAGAAGACCACTTTAGAATAAAGTTCTTTTGAGACTTCAGTTACTAACCTGCTTTAAGAGAGATCTGCTTTATAACCGAATTGTATGTTGTTCATACCTAGAGTTACAATAAGGGTCTAGTTTGTCCAAATCTTAAAAAAAAAAGAAAATTTTTTTAAAAAAAGTCTTCAAGCTGGCAATGTATTTGAATTAGTTTTCAGATTGTGGCTCCAGGCCCTGTGTCTCCCATTGAAGTAGCACCTTTCAATAAATACTGTTTCTTTGTGTAGGCAAAAGCACAAGTGTTTCAAATGTATATAGCAGGAAAAAAAAAAGTTTACAGAGCTAGCGCTGCTGCACAGAATAATTGCTACTGAGTATTTCTTATATCATTTGTGGAATTGAAAACTGAGGTTTATTCTGTCAAGTTCATGCTGTCCAACACTGTTCCCCTATTGTTTATGTATAGCAATTGGGTGTTGCTGTTTTATCATTTGTAAAATAAATTAAATCTCTGTTTTTTTTTCAATTTTTCTCTTCTCTCTTATATTCAAACCCTCGGTTCCAATTTATATATCAATATAAGGTGATTGTTTTTAACAAGCTTTAGCTAGTGCTTTTGTCATCCCTGCCTCTCAGCCCTTGTCATTGGCGATTTGGCAAACCATTTATTTTAAAGTGTATGCATGGGAATCTGAGCATTGTCAAAAGCCCCGTGAACATTGGGAAATCCTTAACAATTTTTGTGTGGTGCATTCTGTTTGTGGTTGAGAGGATGGAGTGTTACACAAGTTACAGTCATTTATATCCAATTTATATTCCTACTGACCGCTGTCAGTGGGTCACTCTAGCATCATGTCTGGAGAGGCCAATCGCTCCTTACACACTGCACATTTTTATGGCTGCCCTTTGACTTGTGATTTCAACTGCTATTACATTCACTTGCTACTACTGTTCGCAGTTCATCTTCTAGGAGATGATTCTGAAAAACTGCATGTTTAAATCTTCTTTCATGGCTTTCTATAAGTGGCTAGTCTATCTTTTCAGACTCTGCACTATTTTCTCCAGAAATTATTAACTCTATTTCCATGAGGTCACTTTTACCATTCTGCGATTTTGAAACATTTGCTAGAGACCAACAGTGAACCCACTAACAAAGGTTAACAAATATAGATCATATTTATATTTGCATAATTACTTTTTGCTGTCGAAGATCTATATGGTCATTCCCATCTATTCTTGGGATATAATCAGACCTCATATGAGCCTATGAGATGGTACTGAAAATATTCTGGCTTTACAGATGAGATTAAATGAGAGGTTATGTAACTTGCTAAATGTCACTCGGCTCAGAAATGAGAGCACCAGGATTTGAACCCTACTGGTCTGTCTGACTTCAATGTCCACTGTCTTAACCATCACATTTTGATGTCGCCTCTTTAATTGGCAAGAAGTTCCCTGGGAAAGTTAACTTTGCAAATAAATTACTTTTAATGAGCACAGATCAAAAATATAGGTAAGTATATAGGAGGGATATATAATTTAGACTTTGAAACAGTCTAATAACCCCTGCCCCCAATTAGAACAATCATCTTTAATGACGAGATCTGCTCCTTCCAGGGCTGTGGCAGTCCCCCTGGCTGGTGCTGCATAAACACTGCCAATTCTTGCTCCAGATTCTTCAGATATTTTTTTCATGTAAGCTGGATTACTCTTATGTTAGAATCTGACTTGAAGTAATACAAAATGTATTACATTACAGCTATTTTAAAGTCTAATTATAAGGTTCCTATACAAACATTTTGATTGAATTTGGGTGTTTCATTCATCTCCATTAGTAACTATTTACAGAAATATCTTAAGGTTGAACTTCTGCAGATGGCTAAGTTTATCCATTTTATATTGATTTCTTTTAAATTGGTTTCCCTTTTTTCCTGGGAATGAGAGTAACCCAATCTCTAAATTAAGGGGGCAGCTTAACGTTTTCCACTTTATACTAGCTTCATCGTGCACTTGCCCATGAAAGCAAAAGCATAATCTCAGATATAAGAATAAAATTATGATTTGATCCATTCTTGAAAGATAGATTTCAGTCTTTCGATTGCTCAATTTCTGGAATCTCGATAAATAAATTATTGGGAAGAATTGAATGCCAATATAAATATCTCTTTTTAAAATTTTCTTGCCTCCAGATTGCTGATTTCTGACTCGGTTACCAAAGTAGAATTTCCCAAGTAAACATCAGAAAATGCTAGTCCAGGACATGCTCCACAAAAGTGTGCTCCGTGAGTGACAATTCCATGTACCTTTCCCTTAGAGATTCAGAAAATACATTAACAGAAAAAGATCTGAGAAATCTTGCATAGAGAAAGAAATTTCAATGGTTTCAAAAGTCATAGATAATTTTATATATAACTTGTATTAAGTATGAAATTATGTTCTACAGAACCTACTTTGAATAAACTTCTGAATATAACAAACAATACAAGAGAAGAGAACAAGTGAGAGCTTCAGTTAGACAGGTTGATGCTTACTTTCTTCAGTGTTTTCTTTTCTCATAGATCAAAATATTTTAATAATATTTTCAAATATGAAAATATTTAAGCCCATATATCTGTTTATTCTCTAAACTTTTTATATTAATTTTTACATCAATCATTACTCTTTTCTAAAATATTAATCATACCCTGGCTACATTCCTAAGAGCAGTCCCAAACCTAAGCTTTAGTGCTCATTCTAGGCAATGCACACAAATTAGCTTTAAGGCATTAACAGCACAGGAAGAAAATAAAAATGCTATGAAGTGCTACTTTGCATTTTCTAGAATAACTCAGTATATTACATTAAGATCTCTGCTGTCTGTCCAGCGCAGCTTCCTTAGCTCCAGCCTCCCGTCACCACACAGATGGGCTGTCTACGAGCACATCTGCCCGTGCTGCCAAAATGTAAACACACTCGGCTGGTAGCAGATGTTTTCCTGGAAAGATAGCTACCACTGGAATCGTTCTGCTTTGGAGTCTATGTTAGTTGATCTCCGTGATTGGGCATAAGGTTATTGTGTTCAAATAAATCATTTGTCTCTCAAGTACAGAACAATTAACAGGGTAGATGTAGGCTCCACTGTTTGATGTTCACCATGTGCATATATGTAGAAGTGTTTCTGAACACTCTTCTACTAAGTCAAGATTTTTCCTTTTTTTTTTTTTTGAGAAAGATTAGCCCTGAGCTAACATCTGCTGCCAATCCTCCTCTTGTTGCTGAGGAAGACTGGCCCTGAGCTAACATCCATGCCCATCTTCCTCTACTTTAAATGTGGGACGCCTGCCACAGCATGGCTTGCCAAGCGGTGCCATGTCCGCACCCGGGATCCAAACCGGCGAACCTCAGGCTGCCAAAGCGGAACGTGTGCACTTAACTGCTGCTCCACTGGGTCAGCCCCAAGATTTCTCCTTTTTAAAATAAGAGCCTTTATTTTACTTTAAGACCTTATTTGTTGAGCTCTTCAAATGTAAAACATAGGCTTAGTAAAAGAAATATAAGTATACTATACTCTTGGCTTTTCTCTGGTCATTGTTTGAATTGTTACTGTTCTCGTGAGTTGTTATAATAATTCTCTGTATTCATAGTTCTCAGTCTCACTTTTTATCAATATACTAGGCATTCATTTATGGGTAATTTTACTTAATTCAACAGACACTGATGGCGTGTTTTTATTATGTGAATTTATAAATTCATTTAATATGTATATTTTCAAATCTTGATGGTACGTAAAATCTAAAAATACTTCATTTTGTAAAATGATTACATTTATCCAGCATTTATCAATACTATCTACTAAGCAGTCTACTAAACATGAGGTGTGTCTTTCCTCTTGGTTTTCAAAATTTAGATGGAAGAGACTTACAAGGAAATAAAGACTCATATCCTATGGTGACAAGTATTCCTTTCCTAGAGAGCCCAGGGAGTTAGGGCAGCAGAGAGGAAGCCGGGCAGAAGATGCAGGCTACACCAAGCATAGTTTGTAGTCAGGTGGCAAAATCGAGACAAGCAATAGTTCATTAACCCAGAAGACCCCAAGAACAGAAACTAGCTGCGTTTGTATTATTAATAGTAGTAGTAGTAAGTTAAACAGCAGAGTTTCAGAAACCATCACCCTAAAAAACTGAAATACTCAAAATCTCTGCTTATGGAAATTACACAATTTCCACTCCCTCTCTTGACCATTCTTCCCCAGGACCATTGTTGAATTACAAATTTAAAGAAAACTGAAGTCCACCCTAAACCAAGCACTTACACCAAGACCAAGTGGCTGCAGACCTACTGAAATTATCCATTATACAAGACCCTCCACTCCCAAATATCTCTATCTTAATATTTACTTTGCATTTCTAGCTTGAAGGAATGAACCATCAAAGAAAATGTCTTGTACTTCCTTTCAAGTAATGACTTTTAAAAAGGATTTATTTCTGTCACCCTAATACATGTTTCTGAATTATCACGACTTTTAAGTTTGATTTTGGGATACTCCCAGAATTTGAAAATCTGCCTACCCAAACTTTCCAAGACGTAGAACGTGAGTCTTCTCATATTACTTCTCATTCAATAACCATGCTTCTCTCTCCTCTGTAGGCTCCTTCTTTTGTCTAAAACGTGTTTCTGTACAACTTTTCTTCAGTCTTTTTTTATCTCCCCATTTCCAGAGATCTTATCTATTCTGATGCTTTGTAAACTGGCAGATATATGGACATGTGGAGATAATAATAAAATTAAGGAATCTATTTATAGAAAAATGTGTACATTCATGTCATATTCATAGTGTAGGTTCTCTTTAAAACAGAGCTTATAGGAATTTTAAGGCAAATAGTCTATTGGCGCAAATGCCTGCAAGAAGCAGAGTGAGGAACCAGGGTGCTATAAACCAGGTGTTTGGGTCCCTCCAAAATTCACATATTGAAACTTGATCCCCAATGTGATAGCATTTGGAGGTGGGGCTTTTGGGAGGTCATGAAAGCGGAGCCATTGTGAATGAGATTAGAGCTCTTCCAGAAGAGACCCCAGAGAGCTCCCTCATCCTCTACACCATGTGATGGCACAGCAAGAAGATAGCTGTCTTTGAACCAAGAAGCAGGCCCTCATCTGACACCAAATCTGCTGGTGCTTTTGTCTTCGACTTTCCAGTTTCCGGAACTGTGAGAAATAAATGTTGTTTATAAGCCACCTAGCCTGTTATATTTGGTTACAGCAGGCTGAATGGACTAAGACATAGAGAAAGCATAACAGGAAAGGAGAGAAAACCTATATAAAGGTATGTTTTTAAATTGACTGCTTCTATGGATACTGAGTGCTCAATCTCACTTGGACTATCTGAGGAAATTTATGATAAGGATCTCAGGATTCAAGGGATGTAAAGAGGAAGCAATTACCCACCAGACCCTGTTCCCCACTGAGAGTTTTCCTATGAGTCATAAACTCCCTGAACTTCTGGGTTGCACATGTGAGTTCTGAGCTAGCTCCCACAGATGTCCCAAA